CGCCCAGCGTGAGTTTTAAGCCACTGGGTCCGGGACGCGACCCAAGGTCAACTACATGGGAATCCAGCGACATAGCCATTACGCTAACTGCTGGTTGCCATTCACTTAATTTTTAATTTGACCAGAGAGAGAGAGGAGAAGGTGAGACAGCAAGCCACCTAGTCTGGGGCTTGAACCAGGGTTAGCCAAGTGGAAGTCCTGCACCTTAACCACCATGCCACCTGCAGGCCCCTTAATTTTTATTTTTTAAAAAATTACTTAATTTTTATTTATTCATTCAATTAGTTTAATTTGACCAGAGAGAGAGAGGAGAAGGTGAGACAGCAAGCCACCTAGTCTGGGGCTTGAACCAGGGTTAGCCAAGTGGAAGTCCTGCACCTTAACCACCATGCCACCTGCTGGTCTCTAATTTTTTTATTTTTAATTTTACTTATTTTTAATTATGATTTAATTTTTAAGATTTATTTTATTTATTATTATATATATTTTTTTGAGAGTTATTTTCTATAGGGCGCATGTGCTCGCCAGACAGACAGAGACAGAGAGATAGAAGCAAGAAATTAACCCCCAGGGGGGATGGCCACAATCCCTTCTCCTCCATTCTCCTTTCGTGTTCTGTCTCTGTCTCTTTCTGTATTTCTGGTGAGTGCACATGCCCTATAGCAAAAACCTCTCAAAAAAAATATATTTAAAAAAAAAAAGTGTTTGTCAGAGAAGAGCTGGCAAGTGGCACGGTGGTTAAGGGTGTTATATTCCCACATGGCTGACTGTGGTTTGAGTCCGGATTTGGCGGCTTGTTTTCTCACTTTCCCTATCTCTTCCTCAAATTTAATAAATAAATAAAGTTAAATAAAATAACTTCAAAAAAAAATTTTGCAAACAGCATATGCACTCAATAGAGACAGAAAGAAAGAGAGAAAGAGAACGTGAGGGGGCCAGCAGGTGGTGTGGTGGTTAAGGGCCCTGGACTCCCAGATGGCCAACCATGGTTTGAATCCCAGGCCTGGTGGCTTGCTTTCTCACTTTCTCTCTCTCTCTTGCTCTTGCTCTGTCTGTCTCTGGTCAACATAAATAAATAAATTTAAATAAAATAATTCTTAAAAAAAGAAAAGAAAAAGTGAGAAAGCCCCCCTCAT